TGTCCTCCCTTTTTGGAGCCCACAGTCATACAGACTGCCTCTGTTGGTGACATGTGTCATGGGAGCCTCCCCTCTTCACCCCCGACACTCACCCCTTCCCCCGACTAATTAGGCCAACATGTAACTTCCAGGGCCTGGCAGATGAGGAGCCAAGAATGCGGTGGACGGGGGCCAAGTGTTTTTGTTGACATTGCTCAAGTGTAGCTTTGCGGAGCAGCCTCTTTGCTGCAGCAGAGAAGTGCAAGGAAGCTGGGGTAGGTGAGCAAGCAGAGAGCAATGAAAGCAGGAGTGTGGGCACCTCTCGGTATCCCCTTTGCCCTCCCCACCCTCCACAGCTTCCCTACTGACTACCCTCTGCTCCTCCTCCCTAAATACAAGAATGCAGCCCTCCATGGCGTGGCCAGTGGGACCAACTTAGTCCCCAGGAAATCTGCACTGAGCTGAGCATCAGGCATAGAGTGGGGTTTTAGTAAGGTCTTTTTTGTTGTTGTTGTTGTTTGTGATGCTTCCCAGGGGTGATGGTCATGCCTCACTGTTATTCCTAATAGTTTCTGGGAACATAGCTCCAGTGAGACGGTGTTCACTGGACTACACTATCCATCTACCTTACTATTGTCTAGACAGTGCAACTACAATGAATTTCATCCCATCCAGGGGACTCCCAAAAATTTGGAATCTGAAGTCAGTTAAGTTGGGTTTAGATCTTTGTTCTGTTGCTTCCTTAATCTTGGACAAGTTATTCAGAGTGCCTCACTTTCCTTATTTGCAAACATGGAGCTAATATTTCCACGTAGGATTTGTGTGAAGATGAAACGTGTTGAAGAATAGAAAGCCCTTGGTATATAACAGACACTCAATAAGTGGAAGACAGGAAAGCTATTAAAGGTGGTTGAAGCGGCCCATGGGTTGACTCTGATCTTAGGCAAATCACATCTGCTTTGCTTTATTTACCCTGAAGGTAAGTTGGCCACAGAATCAATTGCCGTTTTCTCCTTCACTGGGAGTTTTGTGAGGACAAGTGAACTCACTGGGTTATAATGCTGTCAAACTTGGTTCTCACTTGGAAGGAAAATGAATGAAATGCAATGTTTTCATCATATTTTCTCAGACTGTAGTCTCTGCATTATTATATCAGTGGTCAAGTATATTTTTGTTGAGATAAAAGTTTGTAGGTTTTGGAATCCAGAGGTGCTGCCTTAATAGTCTCTAATTCCTGAAGATATTGAATCATTATGTAAAAAAATCCTCTGATTTTCTGCTACAATAGCTGGCTTTACTTTTACATCTCTTAATTGGTATCAGCTTTTCTCTTAGAATTACAGAACCATGGAAACTTGGCATAAAAAAGAACTTTGGAAGTTATTGGAAGGGAGACATTTATTTCTTTGCAGACCTTTGGGGTCTTCCTGAACCTTAGAATTGCAGTTCCATAGAACGCTTTTCTCTGACCCAGATTATGACAACAGTAAATGGCCAGTCAGCCAGCCACAGCATGACTCTCTAGATACCACGTGAGCTGGCAGCTACAGGGTGCCCTGTCCATATCCCATGCACTGGCTTCTTCTGTGCACATTGGCAAATTACAGCTTCTAGAACTTGCATCTCGTTGTCCAGGATCCTTGCCGGGCACCAGAGCTCACTTTAGATATGCATGTGGGCGGTTGAAAATCATGGAGAATTAATGTCCTCTGGAACAGTCTTTAACTAATGGCAGACCAGGAGTAGGTGCTCCCTCACATCTTGGTGTCTGAGATGCATGTATACCCTGGCTGCCAAGAGCTTTCAACAAGGGTCAAGGTCTCCTCACTCATTTTGGCAACTGGCTTAAAACATACCTTCTCTGCCCCACTTCCCTATTTCCTTATAGGTTCTTCCTGGAATCACCTCCCATATAATCTTCCCCTGAGGGGTTGCTTCTGAAGAAACCCAGCCTGAGATGAAGGAAATGCCTTTATCCACACTTTTAGGTCATTTTTTTGATGATATAATATTACATTCACATCGAGGACTGCTTGTTGGAGTTTAAATCCTCTGACCTCATTGTTTTTTCATGAATTCTTGAAATTTTTTTTCCTCTTCTTATTCTCAAGCATAAGAGTTAACCATTCCATTTAATCAAACGGCACAAATGCTTAGAAAACTTTGAATTATTCATTTGATGGTGTTTTGACAATTTTGCATAAGGTGATATATGTGGCTACAATGTAGGTTTTTGTATTTCAGTCTAAAAGTTATTAGTATTTCACCCCCCACCACCACCTTTTTTTGGTACTGGGGATTGAACTCAGGGTCAATCAACTGCTGAGCCCCATCCCCAGCTCTTTTTGTATCTTATTTAGAGACAAGGTCTCTCTGAGTTGCTTAGTACCTTGCTTTTGCTGAGGCTGGCTTTGAATGTGTGATCCTCCTGCCTCAGCCTCCCAAACCACTGGCATTCTAAGCATGCATCAGTGTGCCTGGCCCCTCTTTTGTTTTGAGAAAAAAAAAATCTGGGGATGTCCTGACCAATACATATAAGTTATAATTAGGCATCTTGATAATTTTACCTCAGGGAGTAGGGCTGTGTTTGACTGAGAAAGACCTCAGTATATGATACTCTATGTGTTCTTTTGGCTTAGGTGAGGTACCCACAAACATTGGCATTTCCAGAAATTTCCGCGAGTCTCTCTTTATACATAGGTACAATGGGAATGATAATTTCAACTTGTACCTACTGAGCACCAACTCTGAGCCAGTACTGATTAGGTGTTGGAGAAACCATGTTCATGTTTCCCCTTTCTTCCCCGAGTGGTACCGTGAGGATCAAATTTAATAGTGAAGGTGGAATCACATGGGAACTGAACCACTATAGGAATAGAGAAGGGAGCAGGATGACTTTTGGCTCTTCCTTGACCATTTCAGAATACCATGTCAACATGGCTGGGTGAACCCTGTGACCTTGCATGAAGGACCTGGGAACCATAAATTAGGCCCTCTCTTGTATTTATATCCATTTTCTGACCATAGCTGTTCTAGACATCCAAGAGTTAGTCATGGGCTCATATAATTTCTTCCTTTAGTGACAAGTTGTTAGAAAGAGCCATCTTAATTGGTTGCCTCCGTCTCCCAATGACCCCTGATGTCTAGTTCAAATTGCCATTTCTTTGCCTTTGTCTTTTAAAATTCATCTGTGATAGTTAGGACCACCGACTACTCTCTTTTCTTTTTTAATAGGTGCTATTAGCTCTCACTTATTTATTTATTTATCTGAGCATTTTTTTAAAGTTTGTTCTAAATAGTAAACATAACAGTAGCATGCATTTTGATGCATCATACATAAATGGAGTATAAATTCTCATTCGTCTGGTGGCACATGATGTAGAATCCCACTGTAGAATGGTCGAGTAATCATATATGTACACAGGGTAATATTGTCTGATTCATTCTACTATCCTTCCTACCCTCATACCCCCTACCCTCCCTTCACTCCCCTGTACCTAGTCCAGAGTACCTCTATTTTTCCCTACCCCCAACCTTTACTGTGAATTAGTATTTGCATATCAGAGAAGACATTTGGCCTTTGGTCTTTGGGGACTGGCTTATTTCTTTTAGCATGATATTCTCCAGCTCCATCCATTCACTATTCTTTTCTTGAATTCTCTTTCTGCCTCCCTTCCATGATACCATGTTCCCTTGCTCTTTTCCCTTCCTGTCCTGAGCCTTTGCTTGATTCTTTGACTCTATTTGCCCCCTGGAGGAATGTTAGATTTCCCAAGATTTCTTCTTCCATTCCTTCTCAGTAGTCACCCCGGGATCTCTATCTTCACATGGAACATATAGAGATCCCACCCAGACATATGTCTCAAGTTCTTCCCTATTTGCTCATTATTCTCTTGGGGCCTTCTGTACATTAGTTTTCTCACCTGAGGAATCTCTACCCACAGGTCATATACTTACCTTTTGTTACCCTGAAGATACTTCAAACCCAACATGTCCTAAACAGAATAGACTGTGTTCTTTCCTTGTATGTGCCCTTTGATCTCTGTTCTTTCCCCCGCCATCCCCATGGTCATCTTAGCCAGAGACCTGAACTCTGTCACATGCTCAGCCTCTAACATGTATTCTGTGCTCTGATTTTTCCTTAATTTCTTTTTTTTTTTTTAAAAAAAACTTCCTTTGTGGTGCTCACTGGACTATTAGGTCTGTAGCCATATTTTATGACCCTGAAATAGACTTCCAAGCTCTTTGGGGCTTCCCTTCCTTTCCTAGTGTGCACTTGGGACTCATGTGTGCTCTTTCCAAGGGCCCATGAGCTTAACAACATGGAGACGGTGAAATGGTAACCTAATTTGGGTAACCCCAAGAGACAGATCCTGAGCTCATGTTCAGTGGCAGACGGTTCATTCAGAAGGTAATTCTGAGTAAAGAAATGCCAGTGGTTGGTAGGCTGAAGCCAGCTTTGCTGAATAATGGAAATGACTGCACTCATCTCTTCCTGATTCCATTCTCAGGGATGTCATGTAGGTGACTTAAAATTGGCCTTAATGGGAATATTGATAGCTTGGAAACAGACCAACGGCTACATTTCTGGAATGCTTTTCCAATTCGAGAATTGATTGTTAAACACTGGGTGCAGGAAATTTCGAGACAGGGGAGAGACAATCACTAACGAAATGAGCTTTATCAAGAGAATTATACCGTTGATAATTGGAGCTTATCAATTATCAATTATTGGGGAAAACTTAGGAACCCAGTTTAGAATTCACACCATAAAGTCATCCCATTCAAGCAGTTAGGTATTTATACAACAAATTCTAGGTATCATTGGCTGAGAGTTGCCTCTGTTGGGCCCAATAGAATCCAGTGAAAGCCCTTCGGTGGGTAAAGGCAGGATGGCTTGAGGGGGATCTAGGCAGGGCTGAGAAAATGATGGCTAATAAAGGCACTGCACCTCCAGCATTGGTAAAGGCTGAAACAGCTGTTAGTTAATGTGTGGTTGTTGTCTTTTTTTTTTTCTCTAGAGCTTGACCTCATGGACCTCATAGGGGAAGACAGAAAATGGATGGTAGGAAGGAAGCTAATGCAGGTGAATGATACTCTGACTTCTGAAGATACAGGATTCCGGAGCAGCAAGAACTGCACTGAACCAGGTAACAGCAATGTCTATGCACTCAGTGGTGGCTGCCATTTTCTTTGGTTATGGCTGAGGAAAGGCTGGATGACATATTTTGCCTTTGATTTCAAATACTGAGACTCTTGAAGGACATTTAGGGTAGCTGTCTAAGAAACTCAAAGGTGAGAAACGAAGGGATTATAAAGGTATGTTTCCAGCTCTGTCTTCTTTTCCTAGTGGAGTTAAGAAGAAGGTAAGTCAAAGTCAGTGGTGTCCTGATTTCATACTGATATCAAATGGAGTCTGACACTAACAAGTGAGAGGATGTGACAGGAGAAGGATGAGTGAGGATGCTTTGTGGCTCTCTTTGCTTTGATTCCTGGGATCCTTTCTGACTGGTCTTTAATCGGGAGCCTTGGTTTTGTCACAGGAAAGACACATGACGTTGATCTTCTTGGAAGAAGTAAATATGCATTTATGCATCTATCTTTTGTTCTATTTGATATGTATTGTGCCTATTCTTAGAAAGATTCATGGAACATTTTACCTCTAGTATTACTGACCTGAAAAAGAAAATAAATTCAAAGAGGATCAATGGGAACTAGGGATTATTGGGACTCAGTTTATCGGTCCTCAGGAAACTGAAAAGTATACCTCTGGGTGGATGAAGTTGCTAAAAGTTTAGAACAGGGGTCAGAAAACTTGTTCTGGAAAGAACCAGGCAGTAAAATAGTGTCTGTAATACAGTCTCTAAAAAAGTTGTGTTTTTTTTTTTTTACATTGCTTTAAAAAAAATTTTAAATCATTCTTAGCTCACAGGCTATACAAAAACCAGCTGTGGGAAGGATTAGGTCTGTAGCCATATTTTATGACCCTAACATAGACTCCCAAGCTCTCTGGGGCTTCCGTTCCTTTCCTAGTGTGCACTTGGGACTCATGTGTGCTCTTTCCAAGGGCCCAGGAGCTTAACAACATGTTGATTCCACATCCCAAAACCTGTCTGATTTTAGCGTCATCATGAATGGATATAACAGTCATCAATGCATTCACAAAAAAGTACCTACGTTTGAGTATAGAAAGTGTTTCAGGAAGTTGTGTAGTTATTCTGTTTGGGGAAGGTAGGTAGAAGTACCCTTTACTACCATACTGTCTTAACAATCAGCTCTCAAGCAAAGTTGCAAAGAATAAAAAATAGATCCTTCTTGTACCCAGCCCCCAAATCCTACATAATCTATATTCCTCAAGTTGGAGAATTCAAAGGTTACTGTGGTTATTAAATGCTCACAAGGAACATTTTTGAAGGTTAGTGAAGCGTATTAGCTAGAAATGAAGATGTCCATGGTGGGCTCGAGTGCCCCAGCTGAGAGAATAGAGTCATATAGATTCTAAGAAACATAGCCCCTTACCAAGGGCTGTCCTAAAGGCCATGACAGGAACAGTGCAGTTTCTGGGCCAGGGACTCTGTTAGCTGATCTGATCCTGTAGTCAAACATTTTTTTCAACATCTACGTTAGTCAGCTTTACATTGTTGTGACCCAAATTCCCAACAAGACCAATTTGGAAGAGAACAAAGGTTATGATGGAGTGATGGTTTCAGAGGTTCAGCCCACGGTCAACTGATGCCATCACTTTGGGCCTAAGGTGAGGCAGAACATCATGGCAGAAGGGTGTGAGAGAAAAATCGCTCAGCTCCTGGTAGCTGGGAGGCAGGGAGACAAGGGGAGGATCAGGAAACAAAATATAAACCCCAAAGGATGCCCCTAGTCACTTAACTTCCTCCCAGTGTGCCCCAGCATGTAATTATTCCATTCAAATGATTCAATCTTCAAATGGAGTAATACACTGATTAGGTCCCAGTTCTCATGAGCTAATCATTTTACCTCTGACCAATCAACACAGAAGATTTTTGGAGGATAGCTCATATCCAAACCATGACAACATCTTTCTCAACTAAGAGCCGATGCTGAGTGAAATGTTAAAAGTCAGGAAGCACAGTATTAGAGAATCCAGTTGTCACCTTTGGTATGGAAAGAATAGAGAAGACAAGATAGAGTGACAAGCCTCCTGTGTTGGATTTAGACATGTGCAGAGCCAGTGGGGATGGAGGGCTTCTGTTCCCTATTGTTGGGGTTGTGTTTTGGGGGGGGTAGGTGGGTAGGCTGTCTCTGAGTGCCTTGCTAACTGTACTAAGAAATGGCTTTCTCAGAGTGGCAGGTGTAGAAACCTCACGTGCATTGAAAGCCATTCCAAGAGAGGGAAGGACCAGCTTTGTGGGTAGCAAGGAATGTGTCCTGGTTGATATAAAGAGCACAGACTCAACCCCTTCTGGAGATGGCAGGGAGGGCACAGGGAAGGAGAGGAAACGAATGGCTTTAGGAGGGGAATGGGAGGCAATAAAAGACAGCTGTCACGTTATGTATAGCAGGTCCAAAAATGATATGGAACCAGAATAGACATTTTTTATTTCCTTATCTGTAGACTAAAGGGACTGGGCTTCATTTTGGGGGCCCTTGATTGTGAACTTAATTCTATAGGGAAGAAGAGCATGCCGGAAACAGGAAGAGTCCTGTTCAAACCCTAACTTGTCAGAGCATGTGATCCATCACAAAGCCTGTTTGAACAGTGGGGACCAGTCGTTTTTCTGAATGCTATTGGAATGAAATGTCTCTAACTGTGCCAACCAATGTGGACATTCAATGATGATTTAAATATAAATGGATTCAAATTAAACAAAATAAGAAATCCAGATTCTCAATTGTCCTAGCCATATGTCAAACATCTAATAGCCACATGCGGCTGCCATAACGGGACAGCACAGGTTTTAAACATTTCCATCATCACAGAAAGGACTATTGGATAAGGCTGGTCTAGAGCTTCCTGTTGTATTTGGACACATGTCCTGTCCTTCCAGCTCTTTTGTAAATATCTCAAGGCTAAGGTGATGTGTGTATCTGAAAGCCCATATCTATCTAACTTGGGTATTGGAGTCCTGCTCACCTGGGTTTGAATCCCAGATTAAAAGCTATGGGCTTTGGCAACATAATGAGGTTATCTAAGCTTGTCTGCTTCTCTGTGAAATTGTAATAATCATTCCAACCTTTCATGACTGCTGTGAGAATTGGTCATGAAGTAATGAAGTATGTACAGCTTAATGCTGTGTGTTTTATTGCTCTGTAGTAGTTGACTTACGAACTTCCCACTGTCTGCTGAGGGGTACACATTTCCATATTATGGGTGGGCCACAGTGCAGGATTTTTAGAGCCACATTCTCTAGTTGATTTCTATAAGAATAGGCAGATGCAACTATCTAGTTTTGTCAGTAATCCACAATTTTAGGTGGTCCAAGTCTGAGCAGCTAGTTAGCTGGAAAGTGGGGCTCAAGGACTCTCTTCTCACACAGAGAAACTTTGCATATCCCACACATGGTAATGAGCACCACCACCTCTGCTCATCATCTCTGTGTTTAATAACAATGTGATCAAAACCTGCTACACACATACATACACATGTGCGCACCAAGGTAACACACCCAGTTGCCTCAGTGCCCTTCCCAGAATGCTGTGGGAGGTCTGTTTCTCAGTTTTAACTGAGCAGATATTTCCTGAAAAGATGTTGATAACCAAAGTGCGTGTCAGGTCCTGACTTAATATTCTTTTTTTTTTCGGGGGGGTGGGGTGAAGAGGAGTACCAGGGATTGAACTCAGGGGTACTTGACCACTGAGCCACAGTCCCAGCCCTATTTTGTATGTTATTTAGAAACAGGGTCTCACTGTCTCACTGAGCTGCTTAGGGCCTCACTAAATTGCTGAGGCTGGCTTTGAACTCACGATCCTCTTGTCTCAGCCTCCCGAGCCAGGAGGATTCCAGGCATGCACAGCTCTGATTTAGAATTACATTTTTAATAGGACAATAAACCCCTATCCATAGGGAGTATTCGAGACCCCCCCCCAGTGGAAACCGCCAATGGCATAGAACCCTATATACACTGTTTTTCTTCTCATATATACATACATACTTAGGATAACAGGCGTGGTAAGATATTAACAACAATAAAAAATAGAACAAATATAACAATATACTGTAATAAAATTTATGTAAAAATAATGAATTATTCACTTCTGGAATTTTCTATTTGATATTCGGGACATTTAATATTTTGGGACATAATATAGACTATGTAGGGTTTGGGGGTTGGGCACAAGGAGGATCTATCTTTTATTCTTTCCAACTTTGCTTGAGAGCTGATTGTTAACTTCTGGAATTTTTTATTTAATATTTTCTATTTGATATTTCAGGTAACTGAAACTGTGGGTCACTGAAACCAAGGAAAATGAGACTGTGGATAAGGGGGTCTGCTGTCTTCATCTCCTCTTAAGAGGCCCTGAGTGCAATGAATATGATGTGGGCTGGTTGAATACGGTGGTTTCTGCTCTGAAAAGTCTTAATATAGGGGTAGGAAGGAGCCCTGTGGTTTCTGGACTCCCTCTCTTCCTCTTTGTGGTGATGTCAGCAGCAACCTGGTACTGAACAGAGACGGTGGACCAGGGTTCCCTCTGTGTTCATAGGGGTGATTATTTCCACAGGAACTTGAGCATTCCAGGTGCCAGTGTGTCCCTGGCTGTGGCTATGTGAGCAATGGTATTAAGGTCACATTTCAAGAGTTAATTTAATGCCTGTTCATATTCATTTGCTACCTGTGATATCACAGATTTTTCAGATTCTTGGTATGCCTGCCTTTAGATGCCATCAGAGGAAAGGCTGTCGATTCAGGGACTAGAGATAGAATCACCTCTTTTGTGATTCCATTTCCTATTGAGGATATCAGGCTGGTTTGCTTCTCAGATGTCCATTTATTCACCCATGAAATAGATCTTCAGATACTTTATTCCTTCCATTGCACAAATCCAAAAATTCTGAGACACTTCATGAATAGAAATTGACCAAAAACTTCTACTTACTCCACTACATCATCCACTATTTTTGGTTGGTTGTTTTGGTACTGGGGACTGACCCCGTACCCAAAAATGGGTGCTTAAC